ACAAACATGTTTGGTCTATGTTATTGGCATAGCTTGCTCATGAGAGGCTTCCCCAAGACAAGGATGGGCCAATAGTTTCCTTGGAAGGTGGCTCTGGAAAGCACCCTGGGTGACTGGCTAGCAAGACAGGGAAAGACGGAAAGCTAACAAGGAACTACTATGGAGGGGGCTGCTGCTGTTGCTAACAGAGGCTCCCTCATGCTGTCAGCCCTCAGGGAGTGTGTGCATCCATGGCAACTTGCCCTCCTGACCTTGAGGACCTGGGTGTTTCCCTCCCTGACTGGTAGAGAGCTACTCCAGCAGCCCTGACCCACAGGCACAGGGGACTCACACTGTGTGCCAGCAGAGCAGGCTCTGGGGACAGGGATCACCCTCAGGCAGAGGTACTTGTGGTCAGTCGTGCCCATGGGCTGTTTGTAGTTACCTCCAGGGTAGGCCAAGGTACAGGGACAGGGCACAGAGAGCCTCTTCTAAAGTCACCTTTTCTGTGTGGTCTCGTTGATGGACATGCTGTTCCTGACCACCACGCTCTCCCTGCACAGATCTCATTTCCCTTGTCAGATCCCCGGGTGATTGCACCTTTTGTCACCCCTGATACAATTGTCTCACTATCTTAGAGAGTGAACTGTGTACATCTCACATTGTGCTTTGGGCTTCAGTTGGAAATTTGCCCAAACTTCCTGTAAAACAAATTAACTAAAATCTGCTATTACTATATGAAATATTGATTTGATTCTAAAGTGTAGTTCAGCTTAAGAGAAATCAGCTCTAAACCATGTGTTACTAAATTCCATTCTCTGACCACAGGAAAAGAATTGAGAACTAAGTGAATTATTTTCACACAAGGTTTTATAAACCTGGGGAGAAAGACATTGGTAAACCAGAGGCTCTGTAAAAAGCTATAACTAAAAAGAAACTATATGATTGTACTGCTATTTTGTATTTATGGAAGCAAAAGTCGGGGGCGGGGGGCTTTTCTAAAATTCTTCTGAATCCAGGAATTACTGTTCCTAGTATCATGTTTCCATCCGTTTTAACCAAATTACTGACTTTCTGATAGTGATAATGAACCTGTTTTCAGATTTAAAGTTATGATGAATTTATCCTTTATTAAAATAGAAATGATGTGAATGGATTCATGTAATTAAAAAAATTATTTCTATCAAACACATTTGCCTAGACACTACATATGTCATCTTGCTAAGTGCCAAATAAAAGCTTAATTATTATAAGTTTTAGATTATATCATAATGTAGTTATGTCTGTCTAGGTCAGGAGATGGAAGCCACATGATGATTTAAAGAGGAGAAGTTTAATATAAAGAATTATTAAACTCTGATAAAAGAATATTGTAGGATGTGAGAAAAGTGTATGAGATATCCTAAAGCTGAGGGAAGGTACTTAAAGGAGACAAGTTTCAAAGGAGACCTTCCTGAGGCTGGTCTTTAAACTCATTCAAAAAGATGTAGCTGCAATCCACTAGATACTAGAGAAGTTCACTCGCTGTCTGAAACAGAGCTGGCCTGCAGTCACTAGGCAAGCAGAAATCAGCCCTTGAACATTCAGGCAGGGTACAGGGGACTTGCAACTGGTGATGACAAACATGGGCCTGCAGATACAATAGGAGCACTGGGGCATTCAGAGTCTGTGAGGTGAAATCCAGATGGTGGCCAGGTGTGCTTGCCTACAGTGAAAGGAATCCTGGTGTGGTGAGAGGCCTAGAGCAGGACCCCTGTCAGGGGAACCACAGGAAAGTGATAGCCAGGCCTGCCCAGGGTGGAAAGGTTACCAATGGGCAATGCATTCTGGGTGTATGGCTGGGGCACAACACCACGGGACATCCTGCTAACACATTGTGTTAGTCAGCTTTCCATCACTGTAACAGATACCTGTGATGATCAACTTAGAAAGAAAAAAGGTTTATTTTGTTCCAGAGTTTTTGAGGTCTTAGTCCATGATCCATTGGCTCCATTGCTTTGGGCCTGTGATGGCACATCATGACAAGAGCAGGTGGTGGAGCAAAATCATTCACCTCATGGCTGGAGGCAAGAAAGAGAAAGAGGAAGGGGCTGGGACCCCATTATCCACTCAAGGGCACACTCCCCGTGACCTGAAGATCTCCCACTAGTCTCCACCTCTTAAAATTTCCTCTACTTTCCAAAAGTGCCAAGCTGGAAAAAAAGCCTATGCCACATGGATCTTTGAGGGATAGTCCCTTCTACATGCAATGTCCCTTTAGCACCCTCAACTGAGAAAGCGTAACGTTGTAATCACTCTAAAGAATGATTGGTGATGAAGTAATGCCTAAAGAAGTGCTTCCATTACCCAGAGCTTGGTCAATTTGGAGCTGAGAGGCAATTCAGTGATAACTAGCGCCGCATGCATAACTGAAAGCTGCTAAAGTAAAAATGCAAAGTCAAAACAACTCAACAACCACTTAAAGTTTAATAGTGCACTGAAATAGCAGCAAATTTATTAAAAATTTAGATTTATATAGTAATTTTTGCTTGAGTTTGAGTCAAGGAAAAAAGGGAAATACAATGGTTATATATTTTCTTCTGATAAATAAAAAGAAACACAGTTCTGAAAAGAGGAATTTATTTGCTCTTATTACAATAGAAAAATAAAAATGGAAAGTCAAAATTCATCTCATAGATTACTTTGTAAGAAACAGGGAATTGTTAAAGGCCAATGCCAATAACAATAACAAATCTATTTTTGATCTAAATAATCAAATATCTCATCCTCACCTATGAACTGAATTGATTCGTTTAAACATGTAAAGATTGGTTGATGCTTTTGCAAGAAATAAGCAACTATTGATGTCCGGACACAGGTACCAAAGCTTCATTTTGAAACAGAGAGAGGCTGAAATACATAGAAAAACGATTGGATAACATAAATGCTATCCAATTAGCAATTAGTGTTTCCCCTCTTGGCTGCATTTAAGAATCATCTTGAAGTCTTACTAGATGTATTTGATTTGGAGATGGGGCCCAAGATGCTGCATTTTTAAATAAGCACAAGGCATTTGGGAGCTGCCTCACTCAAAGTGGCCATCTCTTCCACTGATTGGCTGATGCAATGTTAAAAAATTAAAAAATGAAATCAGCAGGTGAAAACAGATCCTCAGGGATTGCCCAGAGTTAGATCTACAGGAGTTCCAGAAAAGGAGCTAGTGAAAGAAATGGGATCATGCCAGTGATACACTATGTAGTTGGGCCTACAGCTGTTGGGTCTATACTGAACACACTCTCCTCATTGTCATTGTTCTCTATATGATGGTTTTAAAAACTACTTACATGGTGTAGATATTATAAATAATCTAAGTACACTGTGCCATTTTATTTAAGGAACAAGAGCATTTGGTATCCAACATGAGTTTTTGGTATCCAAAATCCCACCCACTGCAGATGCTAAGGAAGTCCTACGTTGCACAAAATGTAGTGATAGAAGATAAGTATTGTTTCCGATTTCTTTTGCTGAGGTTATGAGACTTATTCATGTCGTGTAGAGCTGTGGTTCATTCATTTATACCACTACGTACTCTTCTATTATTCGACTGTGTGAACATACTATGATTTATTTATTTCCCTTAGGGATAAAATTTGGATTGTTTCAGTTCTTCAGTTATTTCACAACTTAAATATTCCTTCACTCGTCTTTTAATGCACCTGCGAGCTGTAGAGTGCACATATTCAACTTCCAAAGATAAATTTAAAACCTACGTTTGCATCCTGCCTACACCACTTCAAAAGCCTGATCGTTAACAATTGCTTAAATTCTCTAAGAATTTTCTTTCTGAAAAAATGGAGAGAATCATGATACCTACCTACTTCATAGAGTTAACAAGTTAATCTTGTACAGACAAGTTAACACATAGACATGGTCAATGACTATAATAATGATTGTCATCATTGTAAAAATGGATGACAATAATAGTCCTTGGTACCCAAGTACAATTTTAGTTTTCCTCTCTCTTAAATGGCCTACATTCCTCTGACATTTTTTCCTGTTCTTCTCAAGATGCTTATAAATAATTTTTCAATGTATCTCTGTGTCTCAAACCAAGATGTTGATCTGGAAACTGTCACCAATCACTGCAATCAAATATTTGGATTCCAGGGTATTATTTGATAAACAAAACTTGTGCCCAGAGGTACCCACTTATAAAAGGTAAGGGTTACAAAAGGGTTGTTTCATTATTCCCTAAAATTGTGGTCAAGAAGAACATTTAAATCACGGCTGATGAGATTGGATTTAATGTGAGGATTGTTTATGGGTTGTTCACACTCAATTATAAGGGCTAGCCTTTCAGATCTGCCATGTTCTGATTAGTTAGGAGTGGCAGATTCGAATATTTTCATTCTTCATAAAAAAAAAAAAGTGGAGACCATAGGATATTCAGTTTTCTGAGCTTCCAATGCTACATTTGTGGGATTTGGGGGAAAAATATGAAGATGTTCAATTTCCTTATATAAAATGGCACAGAGTACCTCATCTCTAAATTACTTATAATACTTACACAATATTAGTACCATGTAAATAGTTGCTAAGCTGTATCATCTAGGGAATATGGCAAGGGAAAAACATCTGCACCTGTTCAGTATATACAACTACTGTAGGCCTGACTACCCCAGAATACCAATGGCAGTTGGTTGAATTCATGTAAGTGGAAGACTGAACTGTCTTGTTATTTTTAGAGAGGTCAGTTGCCCTTCATGGGTCAGGGGAGGCAAAGGAGAAAATAAAAACGATGACATTTTATCAAATTTGAAGACTAGCTAAAGGGAATGAGGAGGTTAGTTACACACTGTAGCTTTAATCTGTAGTCTAAATTTCACCCATCCCACCTAACCAGCCTACCCAAGCCACCCTGCTGGAATTTGGGATTTGGGGGTAAAGCATTAAGCCAAAAGAAAAGAATGTCGCGGTGAATTCTGTTCTAGGGAGGAGCTAAGAATGTTAGCCATCAAAGGCACTTCATTCTGAGGGAACCACCCAAGGCAACTCTCCAGAGGTCTTCTATTCCTTGCTTAGATACCTGCTGGTCAGCCACTTACTAAACAGCCTACCTGAGGGAAAGCAGAGTCTTCTGTCACTTTGAGGAGGGCTGAATTCAAGGGTAAGATGGAAAGATATCTTCAAGTGTATGCTTATTGGAAATCCTTCCAGGGCTATTGTATTTTGTGGTAAAAAGCGAATGAGTTGTGTGATATGGGAGGCTAAATATTAGTTCTTGAAGACTTAATTATTTACTTGTGAGTGGGGAAATTAATAATGTTTATCAGTGAAGCCCGTTGTCAAGTAGATTAGATATTTATGCGGTTATTTCTCCGGCTCCTGAAATATAAGTGTGTTGGTTGGTTTCTCTACCCACCTCCCATATCTGGTAATAGAAACAGAAAGTAAACCAGGCTTCCCAGGGTGGGTGGAGTAGTTAGAAAGCAGGTGACCTGGTTTTCAAAGTCTACCGAGAGCAAAATTATGAAGTTTCTCTTAGGAGACTCCATCCCGAGCCATTGGCCTTTGAGAGCAAAGATCTTCAGATTTGATTAAAGGAAACCCATCACCTCTACCTATTTTAACAATCAAAAAACTTTGTCTTCTTCACCTCTTTTCTCGCCTTCTCTTTTCAGAATTGGCAATATGTCTCTGCTTCTTAAAGGATTTGAGTTATATTTAGGGCTTACTCTGTAGGAGAGTGGTAACTGTAAATTTTTTTAAGAAATCATAAGAATAAATCTATGCCTTGAATTAAGCAATGGGTTTTTTTAGATATGATACTAAAAAGTAGAAAACATAACAGGGCACAGTGGCACACACCTGTAATCTCAGTGGCTCAAGAGCCTGAGGCAAGAGGATCCTGAGTTCAAAACCAGCAACAGAAAAAAGCAAGGCGCTAAGAAACTCAGTGAGAATCTGTCTCTAAATAAAATATAAAAAAGGGCTGGGCATGTGACTCAGTGGCCGAGTGCCCCTGAATTCAATTCCTAGTTAAAAAAAAAAAAGTGGAAAAAATAAACCAGTTAAACTTCATTAAAATGAAACACTTCGGTGCTTCAGGGGATACTATCAAGAGCAAATAGAAAGCATACAGTGAAAAAGTAATTTGTATCTAGAGTATATAAAAAAACTCAAGGTAAAAAGCAACTAATCAGTTTAAAAATGAGCAAGATTTGAATACACATTTCTCCAAAGGACATACACAAGTAGTTAGCAAGCACATGAAAGATGTTGAATATTATTTGTCAAATTAGAGAAATATAAATCAACCCTATAATAAGATACTATCGCATACCAAACAGGATGTCTAAATTTTAAAAAAAAGTAGTTAAATACAAGTGTTGAGGTAAAATGTAGAGAAATTGAAATCATCATATGCTATTGGTTTAAATGTAAAGTTTAAATCTACGAACAACCTAAAGGTAAATCAGATGAAGATGGATAAATAATATAACAATATGTGGAGTGAATGTGTGTATTATATTTATATATTATATATAATTTTTTTTCACAAAAATGAGATACTGATATATGTTTAAATATTATGCTAAGTTAAAGAAGCCAGCCACAATAGGTCACAATTTTATGATACCATTTATATAAAATATCTAAAACAGGCAAATACATAGACACAGAAAGTCAGACAATGGTTCTCAGGGTTGGGGAAAGTAAGAGTGGGAAGTTACTACTTCTTCTGTATAAGGCAGAATGTACCAGCAAGGCAGAGATGAATAATTCAACCTCAGACTTCAGGATCTTGTGGACAGGTGGAAAGACAGACTGCAGACTTTGGCTATAATCCAAATCATAATAAAAACAGAGTTAGAAAAAAAGAATTGGAATTGGAATATGGAGTTTTTGCTGAAGTACAGAAGGGACACTGGAGAATTGTCTGGGTAAAAAATGAATTGGGATTGGTGGAGGAGGGGGCTGGAGGGCAGAGGGAGGGAGCGGAGATGAGGAGGGTAGGGAAGTGGAGCTCTCCAGAATGTCAAACTCTCTGGGGCAGCCAGAGCACAGGGATGGCTATCAAACTACAGAAACAGACTTGACAAAAAGCAATCAATCTACTGTACAAATGTGAAATCCCAAAGGATCAGAGCCCTAAAGTGAATTTGCTGAATTTATCAAATTCATTAATTTACTTTGTATTGTTTTCAGAAATATTCTTTTAAACACAATCGAAGTATAAATGTATTCATCTTGAAGAGAGCCATGAATTTGTACTTTCTAAGCAACATTTTAAGAATGTTCAATCTGTTTGCCAGATGGAATTTGGAGTTCTCATGGTTTTATTTTTTTTTAATGACTCTTATAATGATTTTCTTCCTCAAAAAAAAATTTTGGGGGGGGTATTAGGGATTGAACCCAGGGATGCTTAACCACTGAGCAACATCCCCAGCCTTTTTTTACATTTTATTTAGAGTCAGGGTCTCGGTGAGTTGCTTAGGGCCTCACTAAGTTGCTGAGGTTGGCTTTGAACTTGCAATACTTCTGCCTCGGCCTCCCAGAACACTGGGATTACAGGCGTGCACCACAGTGCCCAGCTCCTCATGTGTTTACCACATGCATTTTATCATGAATTAAATAGAATGGGAGCCAGAAGTAGGGTTGCCCACCATCTCATTTACCTTGGGGGTCTTCTGGGGTTAGTCCTGTAAGTCCTACATCCTGGGAAGCCCTTCAATGATGAGAAAATTGGTACAACTACTCACACTGCGATGGAGAAATAAGGGCAGCGTGAATGCTTCATTTTCTTCAATTACTGTTTCTTCACAACACTTCTATGCCAGGCTGACCACTTAATGTAAGTTAGGTATTACTTATAAAATCAATTGATTTTGTTGGCAGAATTGGACTTGAAGACACAACTAGGGCACGTGGGATGAGGCCACTTGCGTGTGCAGGCAGTAGAGTAGCGGTGACATGATCAGAAATTTTAAGAAGAATCTGACATGAGTTTTTGCTCAATGAATGGGTTAAGCCCTTGCATATGGTGAGTGTGAAGGGAATCATAGGCTTCCCTCCCCACCTCCCACAGAGAATAGCAGTGACAGTTTTGTGAGAAAGAGAGAAAACTGTCTTGAGCTAAAAAGACATATGATGTCAATTAATGCAAATAAAGATAGATGTGAATAGAGAACCATCTCCATCTGCATAAAGTTTGAGTAAAAGATAAAATTTTGCATTTCATTGGAAGTTCTATTTATGTGTCACTTTGGGTACAAGAACTATTTCTTAAGTCAAGTTTTAATGTCTGAGGAATTTCCCACATAGGAATAAGAATGAGATTGCAGAGATATTGTTTTGAAGAAATCTCTGATTAATAAATGATCAGAACCAAGGGAGATAATAGTAATAGTAATGTTTCCTTATCTCATGGCTAAACCATGCTTTGAAAGTTCTGAATCGGCCCCATTAATTGTGCTTTGGTTGACCCTTGCTATAGAATACTCATATAGGCAGATACTGTAGACACATCTCCAACTTCATTCCTGTCTCATCCCTTTCTTTCCATTTTCACATTTACTCCTTTTGTCGAATTCCTCTGACAGTGTAGTCATTATGTCACTCAAAAATAAGTACATAAATCAATCAATCGGTAAACAAAATGGCTCTCCATTTCCTCAATTCAAAGTTCTAATCTTGGTACTGAGAACCAAATCAAACCCACTTGTAACTCACTTTTCCCCATCTTTAACTGTCACCTCCCATTGACATTCCTTCTAGGCAAATGAAGTGCTAGCTACTGTTTTCCAGACGTGAACCCCCACCTCAAGGCTCTGTCTTTACTTGACTTTTGTATCTGGTATAGAATGTCCTTCACCTAACAATTCAAGTTTCACAACATCTACCATAGATGAAGAACACCACCAGAAAACCATTGTCATTTCTCCATCCAGAATTAACTAGTCATCTGATGAGGGGCCCCTAAGGCAGATAATATTAAGTGCTATTTGTTGAAAATAGTGTTATTTAGTGTCTTTTCTTACATGTTTTCTTACTTTTTTTATTACGCTTTTATTATAATCTCTTTGAAGATGATGTTTCCTAGTACATTATGACAAGTGGAAGTTCACTGACTGCTTTTTTACTTGAGATCTTTCAACAGAAAAATATCAAAGAGGCTCAGATCATGCGCTCCCACCAGAGCACCACGCCCCACAGGCTTGGGATTCGGAAGGTCTTCGGCTCAATTCTTGTCCAAATGACTTTGGTTACTGCTCTGCTGGATACTGTCCTTGGTGAGTAGTAGGGGGACAGGCCAGATCGTCACCATATAATGAGTTCATCACACACCCTACTTTCCAAGATGCCTCACAGATATTCTTCAGATATGTTGTGGGGCATATGTATGACCTTGGAGTTTAGGGATATTTGTTATAAACCCACAAAGGGATTGTTTCATACATGTTTTTGATACTCCCTTTTAGAATTTTCTCTCCAGAAATCTGTAAACAATCTAATTTCAAATAAACATGAGTTAGAATAAACATATATTATTACCTACCAGACTATCATGAAGAACTCTCACTGCTTGTGTGGATATTCAAAATGTAGGGCCCATGGAGATAATTCTGCTGAGGCCTTTAGAAGATAATATAGTAATTTACTTAATTCTTGCTGGGGAAGTAGAATTAAAATTTTTATTTTCCAAGGGCTTCATACATTCTCCACATTGTGATGCTTTTGAAAAACATTTTCATTTTTGAGTAGGCAATCTAGTCAAAACCCCAAAGTCCAAAAGAACACAAATGAAGGGTTGCTTCTTATCTCAGCACCTGAGGTAACTAATCTTCTATGATGGTTTTTATTAATAAAACAAGTGTTTCTACGAAGGCAAGAGGCAGTGTTACATGGCATGACATAGGCACCTACCTGTATTCTGAGTAGGCAGATGTGGGCAATCTGAGAGAATAAGGAAATTCAGTTCTATTCTCCTATAGTTTTGACAGTTTATCATTTGATCAGGAAAGGATGAATGTCATTTTATTTGCCTTTTTTAAATTACTTTTGATATTGTCATTAATTAAAAAGCATACATTGGTGATTACTCTCTGTGTTTATTGACCTTTGGAACAATGGGGGAGGCATGATAAAAAAATCCAGTACCTGGTCTAAAAGTCTTAACTATTCAAACCCTGAGATGCTATGTTGCAAGATATAACTTCCGGTTGGTGCTCCTTGTCTTTTTGGTGTCTAGGTGATTGTGGTCTTCCACCCAAGTTGCAGTTTGCTTCTCCACTCAGCCAGTTGTATGAGTCCAACTTCAAAGCTGGAACTGTTCTGAAATACGCCTGCCACTCTGGCTACAGGAGAGTCAATTCCAGTCGCGTCACTTGCGGTGCTTATGGTGCATGGATTTACAGTAACTTTTGTATCAGTAAATATCAACATTTCTTCTTACTTTGTTTCCAGAAAGTTGAACAGGAACTTGACAAAGTCAAGTCATAAAAAAGTCAAAGTAAAAGTCATGTGAAAATCTGTACGTAGTGTTGAAAATTAACAACACCTATACTACATGGAAGAAGTCATTTGAGGATACACCGTGAGATGTTTTTCTCTTTTTCTTTTAAAAACAATTTATTTATGAGATATTTTTCTAACAGTAAGGATATAGAATTTTCTTTTTTCTTCTATTTCCCTATGGCCAAGGGCATGCAAGTTCGAGAAAATACAACTATGTGTACATCAGGTCAATATGTCACAGCCTATATTGTGTAATCACAGAGATTTAATTAAGCCAATATAATTAAGCACAGAGTTTTTCTTTGAAAATGTATCAGAATGTGTTTACTTTTATTTCCCCTCATATTACAAATTCAATGAGCCACAATCAGAAATAAGCATTGAAGCATATCTCTGGATGTATCTGGAAGCAGGAGTTAAAGTTAATCCACCAGAGTTTTTTCTGATGTTATTTCTTGTGAACATTTGGAATCACTAATCATTAATTTAATTTGCTTACTAGAGAAACAATGCAGGAACCCAGGAGAGTTAACCAATGGTAAAGTGGACGTTATGACTGATTTTCTTTTTGGTTCAACCATACAATTCAGCTGCTCAAAGGGGTAAGTGTAAGGTAGACTAGAAGCAATTCTTCTTATTAATTAATTTTCATAAGGAGTTAATTCATTTGTGTTTCAAGAATAAAACTTGTGTATTAATGTCTACATCAAGAATTTTTACTTCTCCCCAATCCCATTCATCCTGTTTCTCTCTGCCTTCTGACAGTAAGTGACTTTGGTTATTTTCTGACTTATCTTCTTGGGATTTATTTATATATATACAACCAAGTACAAATATTTTTGTCAATATTTTGCCTCCTTTTTTACATATAAGATATCTGACTGCATGCATTATTTTGAATCTTACTGTTACTTTTTTTCTCTTAATAATATTGCTATAAACTGAACACCATATTCCCCCCAAATTCACATCTTGATTTCTAATGTGATCATTTTTGGAGATGGGGACTTTGGTAAGCAATTAGGTCATGAGGCTAGAGCTCTCACGAAGGGTTTTGTGTCCTTTGAAGTAGGTAATAATTATACACTATTGTGTATAATAATAATTAATGTTCTTTGAGTGTAAAAGATTAGGATTTATTCCAGTGAGGAGAAAAGGCAACTCTCACAGGGCAAGAGGGAACCAGATAGGGGTTGCCACTTAGCTGTACTAGTTTAGGGGGGCTTATATAGCTACTGAGCAGGGACATTGGTCAATACCTATGCTAATCAAGTCTTGGGAAAGTACCAAGGCTAGTGGTCAAAAATATACGCTAAACAGGTATTGAAAAAGAGTTAAGGCTACTGGCTAGCCCAGGATTCTGTAGCCTTCGCTCAGGTCTATCCCTTCCTACCTTTCCCTGCCTCACCACAGAACAAGGGAATTGGCTGGAATCTTTGGAATCTTTCTACAGGTTAACTTCATGGAATGGTCTTTACATTTTAAAAGGTATTTTATTGGGGATTACCTGTACCATCCTATTCAATCCCCCCTTCTTGAAGAAAAGGGGTGATGACCACTCTGGCAGTTTCAGGCTGAAAATGGGTATTGAACAAGCACAGGATCCTCTGATGGAGGTCTATCTAGGAGCCCCTGGTAGGTGGGGATTTCATTTTGGATTCCATTTGTAGTTTGGGCATCTTGCATATGAGGGAAGTCCAGAGATCCTCAGTGTGGCAGTTGGTGGATGATTAGACAAGGTACTTAGGGCAGGGATCATGCCTTCCAAAGGACCCTGAAGGAGCCCCAAAAGATGAAACTAGATTTTCAGCTGCTGTAGTGTTGCTGCGGATCCCAGCCACCTGCCATGCCTCTCTTGTCTCAGAAATTTGAAGAACGAAATCCATGGACAAGGAAGAGTGAGTATAAAAGAGTAGAGATGAAGGGACCTGCTATGGGTTGCTCTATTATGAGTAATTATAATGCACCAATAAAAATATGGAGAAAAGAAAATCGATGTTAATAGAATCCATCAAACTTATTAAGATTTCACTCGTTTTACACACACTCGTTTGTGAGTGTGTTTCATTCTATGTAATTTAAACATATTTGTGTATTTGTGTGACCGCAGCCACGGTCAAGATACAGATGTTGTCTTTTCATAGAAAACACCATCCCTCCTTCTTCTCTGACCTTGAGAATCTTCTAATCCATTCCCTCTGTCTATGATTATGTCATTTCAATTGTGCTATATACACAAAATCACACAGAATGTAACCTTTTGTGATCGGCTCTTTATTACTCAGCACAGTTCTCTTGATATGCACCTGTGGTGTTATGTGCATCAAGTTTTTACATTTTATTGTTGAAACAATTCCATCCTATGGAATTTTCTTCATCATTCATCCATTGAAGGAAACTTGAATTCTTTCCTTTGTGTCTATTATGAATAAAGCAGCTGTAAATGTTCATCTGCAGATTTTTTTTTATCTGAACTTAGGTCTTCATTTGTCTGGATTAAAGTCAAGAAATGCAATTTATGAGACACAGTGGTTCAAGTCTAGTAACCATTATATAGTTACATGTCTGTTTTCTAGAGAGGATGTACCATTTTACATTCCCACCAGAAAATATATTAGTGCATCCATATTACTCAACTCCAGCATTTGGTAGTTTCAAAATTTTTAGCTTTAACTGTTCTCACAAATATAATTATATGGCCCTATGCTTTTAATTTGCATTTCTGTAATAGTTAATGATGTCGGATTGAGTATGTTTATATGTGCTTATTTGTTATTTTATGTTCTTTTATGTGAAATATCTGTTCATATTTTCCCTATGTTGAATTGCATCGTTAAGAGTTGACATCCTTGCCTTATACCCAAACTTTGAGAGAAAACTTCAATCTCCCACCATTATATACCTTAGCTGTAAGATTTTATAGATGCCCCTTATCAAGTTGAGAAAATGTTCCTGTATCCCTAGTTTGCTAAGAGGTATTTATAAAGAATGTCTGTGGAATTTTGTCAATTTTCTTTCTCTGGATGGTTTTCAGATCATTTCAGCATCATTTATTTAAAAGTACATATTTAATCCATTGATATGGGTTAATTTTTTTTAAAACAATATATTTAATTCTCAAGTGTTATGTGATTCTGTTTTGGACTTTCTATTTCATGATTCTAGTCTGTCTCTAAATTCACACAATGAATTCCTCTCTCTTCTGAATTTTATAGTATGTAACATCACTTAAAAGTATACCCTCTTTCTTTCTGCTTTTACTAGTATTTCTGACTATATTTACTTATTTATTTTCCTATACAAACTTTTCAATTATTTGATTTTTACTTTTAATAAATTGGATTAAGTTTTAAATGGCCTTTGGAAAAACAGACATAGTATGATGCTGAAGCTTCAAAACCAAAGCTTTATTATGCCTATATGTCAGTTCTAGTCTTTTGTGTGCATGTATATGTGGGGAGTAATGTGAGTGAGTGTGTGTGTGTGTGTGTGTGTGTGTGTGTGTGTGTGAGAGAGAGAGAGAGAGAGAGAAAGAGAGAGACAGACAGAGAGACAGAGAGAGACAGAGAGAGAGAGACAGAGAGGAGAGTGAGTTTCAGGATAGTTTTAAAGATTTCCCAACACACATTTTTCAATTTTCATGTTTACTCTTTGGTATCTCATATTATTTTTATCTTATTTGTGATATTGCAAATGGTGTCCTTTTTATACCTACTAACAAATTTTATGTGTATATGTATAAACTATTGATTTCTATATTAATTATTTTATTAATATTGATTTCTATATTAATCTCATATACAAGATAATTCTGCATTCTCTTAATTATTTGCACTAGTTTTTAGTTGGAATTTCTTGTGTTTTTCACGTATATAATTGTGTAATGTGAACATGATTTTGTTACTTTCTCTTTTCCCAATTTTATTTTTTAAATTTCATATTAATTGTGCTAGCAATTATCTCAAATAATATACTGATACACTGGACATTGTTTTATTATTCTTAATTTTAGCATTTTTTAATTTAACTTTGGTTGTGCTATATCTCTGCCTAATCTATTTTATTGAATATTTTTGACAAGGCTAATTGTCAATTTCTTTCTCAATATCATTTTTATGTCTATCAAGAGATTGACTGTCTTAGATATAATAATATCATGTTATATATTTATTTCTCAGGCTACCCTAACAAAATACAGGCTGAGTACTTAAACAATAGAGATTTCTTTTTCATAGCTTCTCTTAGTCAAGGTGTGTCAAAGTTTAGTCCCAGGTGAGAGCTCTCAGATGGCAGACATCTTTCTGACTTCACATGGCTTTTTTTTTTTTTTTAATACTAGGTATTGACCCCAGGGGTACTTAACCACTTAGCCACATCCCTGGCCTTTTTATTTTTTATTTTGAGACAGATTCTTGCTAAGTTGCTCAGGGCTTCACTAAGTTGCTGAGGCTGTTCTCGAACTTGTGATCCTCCTGCTTCAGGCTCCCAAATCGCTGGGATTATAGGTGTGCACCATCATGCCTGGTTCACATGGCCCTTCCTTGGTGTGTGGTGTGAAGATGGGGATTGTTAGATAGCTAGTCAGCCATAAAGGGTACGATGGAAAGGACACTTACAGGTGACTGAGAACCACAGGGGACCCTAGCTGAGAGACAAGCACCTGGAAGATGAGGAAGATGGGGGGTCTGGTATGTTAAGATCTCCCCCAGACATTTCAAGATCATGTCACACTCCCTCAGGTAGCCTGAAGTCTCCCTTATCACCTAAACTCTGTCACAATCTCCAATCACCCTGGCAACCACAACATCAAGACCTCACAAAGAAAGTTCTCTGGGAGCTATTCAAAAGGTAATAAACTATGATAAAGGGGACAGGAAATTGAGGCAAAAAATAGAGGAACTCAATTTCCTCAAAAACTTCAACTTTGTGAGCACCACATCATTCTCTCTTTGAGGCAGTCCAAGCAGATTCTACATTGTCAGTCAAAAGTCAAAATGTGGACCTGGGCAGGACTCTGTGGAAACTTCCCTGGGACCTCCAATAAAACTGAAGGCCAGGAGGAGCATGCTGTCCTTATCTTCTCCTCCTCCTCCTCCTCTGTACCAGCGATTGAACCCCGGGGCACTTAACCACTGAGCCACATCCCCAGCCCTTTTTATGTTTTATTTAGAGACAGGGTCTCCCTAAATTGCTCAGGACCTCCCTAAGTTGCTGTGGCTGGCTTTGAATTTGGGATCCTCCAGCGTCAGCCTCCCAAGCTGCTGGGATTATAGGCATGTACCCCCATGGTTTTTCCCTATCCCTTCTAATAAATATCCTTGTTATTTTGAGCAACATGTCTGAAATATTTCTGGGCAAGAACCCGGATGAGAAAGGACTGCTGTGGCTGCCTCAGCTGGTCAACGGGCCTGTGCCCTGTAACAGGATGGAGGTGGAGGGAGAGCACAAGCGAGAGAGCTCAGTGATGTCTTTTCTTATAAGGACATTAATTAATATTTTGGGATCAGAGTCCCATGCTCCTACACCTTAATTATTTCCATATGCAAATACATTCATATTAAGGCTTCAACATGTGAATTTAAGAGGCAAGCACATATATTTGGTTTATAAAAATGTATAAGATATCATTCCTCATTTTAAAGCATCCTTTCCTTATCAAAACAAATTCATTTGACCATGGTATGTTTTTCTTTTAGAGTGTTTGTTTTTTGATTAATATTTTATTCATAAAATTTTCATTGATATTCAGGGCAAACTGATATTTTTTTATGAAAACAGCCTGAAGAAAGACTGGGACTTGTCAAGAGCAAGAACTATGAGATGATAATCAGGCAGCTAATGGTTTAGGAGAGTAAGCTGAGCTTCAGAAATCAGAAGGAAGCTCTGAATCAGATGTCAAAGTAGTTTTTATCTGTAATGTGTCTTGATCGTTTAATTCCAAAGAAATTATATAAGAAGCTCAAGTGAACCATTTTCCTGCTATGCACTCTTTGTTTTTTAGCTTACTAAGAAACATGTATAATATTTGAGTATGAAGATCTGGGGATGTACAGCGTGGTTAGGGATTGGTACTATCTGATGTTTGGGAAAAAATTAGTAATAATATTTAAATGACTAAGAAAAGTTTTTAAAATGAGTAAATGTGCTCTCTGACTGATACGATGAAACTGAACTGCAAGTTGCCCCAAATAATCAAGAAGACGGCATTGTTTTTATTTTTTTAATCGTGGATAAAACTCCCACTTGTCTGAAGCCCGTTGGCAGTTTATCTTACTGTTTGTAGTAAGATAAATTCCACTGGAATCTTTGACCTCTTTCAGGTATGTCCTCATTGGTTCAACGAATAGTCAGTGTGAGGTCCAAGGTAGCGAGGTTGAGTGGAGTGACCCTCTCCCAGAATGTGTAAGTAAGTAAAGATTTTAAGTAGAGATTTCTTTCCTATTCAATACAAATCTAAACCTTATTGGGTCTATCACTCTCTGAACCTCCAATTCCCCTTGGGCCCTCTCTCTGTTTTCATTTTCAGAAACATTAGATTTGTCGTGATGCTTTTTTGATATTTCTTTCTCTTCACTCACTCTTCTCAGTTGTCAAGTGTGAGTCCCCTCCAGAAATCAGTAATGGGAAGCACGATGGTGGAGACGAAGACCTCTACACGTTTGGATCCTCTGTCACCTACAGCTGTGATCCCAACTTCTCACTCACAGGCAATGCCACCATTTACTGCATGGTGGAGAATAAAACATTAGGTGTCTGGAGACCAAACCCTCCTGTATGTAAAAGTAAGACACATAATGCATTTGAATTCTCTGTTCTCTTGTTTAAAAGAAAAAAGGGAAATGTATTTCCAGGGGGAAATAGAAGGTCTTACAGACAGAGTTAAATGTTTCAGTGATAAAATGACTCGGGTTCAGCCTTCTTACATGCTATGTTAGTCGGGGTTGCATAGACTATGCTGTGATAAGATGTCATAGCAATATCTCCTGCACTTTTTATAGCAAAAGTTTCTCAAGCTCTTTCTTCTTTGCACTGCTAGTCTGGGAAACTTGTTTGTGCCTCATGCCAAGAAATTCTGTTGATCCTGGATGAAATGGAGATACAGGGTGACGCTAGTAATATCAACCACTCATGCCTATGGAGCTAACAGAACCGTATCAATTTCAGCAGGTTAATAGGAAAGGACAAAGAATATACCTGACTCCAAACTGTCAAGGGAAGCGAAAAGAGATGTCCAGCCAGTTTCAGTAATAACTCAACTTGCTAGTTTAGCCATCTTTCTTTTTGACAAAGTGCTTTAAAAACTCTGTATCATTTACTCCTTCCTGGCTCAGTACAGGATCCACCAACACTAGAACAGGACAGCTTCCTCGTGAAAAGAGTAGAAAATGCTTGGAGTCAGGTCTGTGGGAGGTAGTAAGGCAGGAGCTGAAGCTGGAAAGGCTGGCAAAGGTCTTGCAATGAACAGCCTGTGTGCCACTCAGGAGTTCAGAGTAAGGTGAAGGGGAGGCATTGAATACGTGGTAATTTAAGTGGGGCCAACACAACTGACAGGTACGTCTTGTTGCTACCATCCAGCCAAGAAGTAAAGGGGGCTTCAACTATAGCGAGGGCAGTGGACCTGGAAAGAAGTCAAAAGAAATCCACGGGGCAGGATTGCCAGGACTCGATGCCTGGCTGGTTGGGGATTGGAACATGGGTGACATTTTTTTCTGTTTGGGAGGCAGCTCTCAGGTGCCCTAGTTGCCTCTTCGTGATCACCATGTCATTACTATGGGCCACTCATCCACAACCAAAATCAACCTGGAAATTTTTTTTATTGGTTCTTTTTAGATACACATGACAGTAGAATGTATTTTGGCTTATTATACATACATAGAGTATGACTTATACTAATTAGGATCCTTTTGTGGTTGTACATGATGTGGCATTACCCTGGTCATGTATTCAAATGCAAGGATAGGAAAATTATGTCCAATTAATTCGACTCTCCTTCCTACTCCTCTCCCTGCTCCATTCCCTTCATTCCCTTTTGTCTAATTCAATAGAATTTTATTCTTCCTCTCCCCACCCTCCTTTATCATGGGTTGTCATTTACATGTCAGAAAGAATATTCGGCCTTTGGTTTTTTTGGAACTGGCTTATTTAACTTAGCATAATATTCTCCAGTTCCATCCATTTGCCAGCAAATGCCATAATTTCATTCTTCTTTCTGACTAATATTCCATTGTGTATATATACCACATTTTCTTTATCCATTTATTTGTTGAAGGGCACCTAGGTTGGTTTCATAACATGGCTATTAGTGAATTGGAGCTGCTGTAAACATTGATGTGGATGCATCACTGTAGCATGCTGATTTTAAGTCCTTTGGATATAAACTGAGGGATGGAATAACTGGGTCAAATGGTGGTTCCATTCCGAGTTTTCTAAGGAATCTCCATACTGCTTTCCGTAGTGATCAATCTGGAAATTAGGCCATGATAATGGGAAGATCTGGGAACTTGGAGATTCAAGCTGCAAGTTTAGATATTGCTAGTTGTTATCAATGAGAAAGTTAGAGCACTTTATCTACAATGACCAACACAATGACTTCTCAGTTATCTGAGCTTCCTTGAGAGACTGAAGGAATATATAAAGCTTTAAAATATTTTATGTGTACCTACTCAATAGAAAGTTGTATAAGACCTTCCTTGGAGATATACCAAAACTCACCATCACATCTTTCTCTCTCTCTCTCTCTCTCTCTCTCTCTCTCTCTCTCTCTCTCTCTCAGATATCTTTTTCTATACTCCTGTTGAAATATTCTGCCATCAGCCACAGATTCCACAGGGAATCTTTATCTCTGGATTCAAACCCTTCTATATTCACAAAGACTCTATTGTGATAAGCTGCAAGAAAGGTTACGTCCTCCGAGGGAGTAATTTAATCCACTGTGAAGCTCATAATGAGTGGTACCCCTCTGTTCCCACCTGTGAACTCAGTGAGTATAAACTATGAAGGGACTGTAATATTTGTCATGTGAAGTTACCAGAAGCATGAGTGTGGGGGCATCCTTCTGGGCTCAAGGCTACTAAAATCCCAATAATCATATAAGTTAAATATATTTTCCCCCAGTTTTCTTGTTAGAAGGAAGATTTTCTTCTTAATAATCTCTTGATATTATTTGTAAGATTTAATATATATCATATAGTTGACACGCCAATGACTTTGTTCATACTGTAGATTATATATGTATTGTAAACGTTTTACAGGAGGTGATAGAAAAATTTCCCATTCCCCTCAAATGAACAAAATATGAGTATTTCTTGAAAGATGGAAATAAAATTCCATCTAACATTTTCTTTCTTAATGTCACAGAGGTGCTCTATGGACTAGCATTTGCCTTGAGATCTGGACACTGTGAATATCTACAGATCGCTGGTAACATTAGGGACACTCTTTGCTAACACTGACTTAGCACTTCCTACATACACACAGTATCTCAGTGCTTAATAGCTATGAATTTATAACAGTCCTAAAAAGGAGTTACCATTTTTAATCCTGTTTCAAAGAGGAGAAAACGGAGAGAGACATTAAGGAACTGGTCCAAGTTCACATGGTTATCAGTGGTGGAAGTCTCCATTGTATTGAGGCTTATCTATTCCCTTCTGCCACCACAAGAAGTTAGTCATCATTCAAAATGTGCAGCAATGAAATTCAATGAATATGTAACTTGACAGATACCCATCCCCTCATCAAACCCCATGAACCATTGGCGCAAGGTTGAGTAGAAGAAGGACAAGGTCATAGGCTCAGGTGTACATATGTATATGGGGCTTGATTTGAGGCCAGTTCTGAAATTCCAGGTGACAGTCAAATTGTCAAGGGAAATGCCTCTTATTTTCATTTCCCATTAGGCAAAGATACCAGTGAAAGTTAGACTTTCCTTAGAGCAAACGTCTGCTGTGCATTCTGAGCAAGCCTAATGCCTCTCCTGAACATGGGTCATCCTGAATGATAATGAATTGGAAGGAGACATAAGGTCCCATAGAGTTGGACCAACACCTAGAACTGTCTCCCTTTTGTACAGTGGCAGGAAGTACTAACCCCTCAGTAATAGCCACATCAGGATTATGTGCATTTAATGCTTGACATCAATCTATCAGGCAGTAATGCTGTGGAGTCTCTTTCTGGTATTCCCATTAATCTTGCCATCTGTTTTTTTATTAATAAGTATGTGATCTTTTATTTTTTGCATGTGTGACATGAAATCCCTATAACAGTTTTCTTTTACATTTGTGTTTCCTTTATGATCAGATGGTTGTTCAGACTTACCAGAAATTCCTGGTGCTTTCTTGGAGAAACATATCTATGCTCAGAAAACTCAGGAATTATTTGAAATTGGGACAAAGTTGAAATATCAGTGTAAGCCTGGCTATCACGCAGCAGATGAGCTGACTGTGACTTGTCAGCAAAATTTGATATGGACAACTTCCAGATGATGTGAGAGTAAGTGAATTTGGTTTTGTTTTGTTCCCCCCCCCCCCCCCCCGTGTATGTGCTTGTGTGTCTACTTCTCTATTAAAAATGTTAAGCATGATCCTTGAAATTTTCCAGGTTTGGATTCATTGCATAGGATATATCCAGTTTTTGTAAATGTTTTGTGTGCTCTTTAAAATATACGTATTTTGTAGTTGTTGGTTTTGTGATTTTTATGTATGTCAGTTATTTCTAAATTTTTTTTATGTTGCTGTTCAAATTTATACCTATTTACTTGTCTCTCTGTCACTGAAGATTTATTTAATTATGGATTTGTTTTTTAACTTTTTAGTTTTTTTAAAAGAAATAAACTCTTTTTTTGAGACGGCATTATTAAATGAATACTTATTTAGAATGATTTGTTTCCCTGATGAATTTAACTTTTTACTAGTGTATTGGTAATAACCCTCTTTATACTACAGTTATCTTTAAATTTTACTTTTATATTTAGTCTACCTCTAACAGCTTTATTTCAGTTTGTGTTTGCATGGGTCATCTCAACTTCCTCTTCTAATAGGCTCTTTAATTCTTCATGTCATCACCCCCACTGTTTATCTACTTCTCATTGAAGGAAAGGCGAAGAATGTGAACTACATTTCCTACAACTGCAAAATCAATTCCTCGTTTTAAAGACTTTTAATGAAGAAGTAAAGTAAAAGGCAAATTAAGTGGTAGCACTTTAACCAAACAGTTATATTACTTGATATTTTTATATTACTTGAAAATTTTCATGAATTTGGAGAAGATCCCCTTGGTAGAACTTTTCCTTCAATTTCTTTCCTTTTAAAAATTATTCCAAAAAAAATAATATTTATGGGTTACCATGTGATGTTTTAATACATATAAATTGTGCAATATTTAAATCAAGTAAGCATAAATATATCATTTATTACTTTTTTATGGTAAAACCACTCAAAATTCTTTCTTTAAGCTTTTAAGAAATAGTCAGTGTATTATTGCTATCTAGCCATGCTTCTCTACTGTAGCACACTAGAACTCATTTCTCCCGTAAACTTTAATTTGGTCACCTATTGAGCCACTTTCCCCCATCTCTCCCACCTCCCCACTCTCCCTGCCTCAGGTAACTACTATTCTACTCTTAGCTTCTATGAGACTAACTTTTTACATTCCATTTATGAGTGAAACCATGCAATATTTGTATGTCAGTGCCTGGCTTCTCCAAAACACTCCATTACCTAATTTTCCTTCGACCTTATTCTTCATTAGTAGTATTTAAAACTGAGGTATTGAATTTTCAGTGTTGGGCTCTACAGTTCACACTTAATATAATGATCTCCACTTCCATCCACTTGCTGCAAATGACAGAACTTCATCCCATTTTGGCTGAAAAGTATTCTCTTCTCAGAGGTTTCTCTTTCCCTCAAATCCCCCAAACCAAAATTTGACCTTCTGCTTCAATGAGTTGGATTATCAGAGTCAGAGCTTTAGCCAAAGGCATATTTCCCTTGTGATTTCATGAAACTTGAACATCCATTTTTATCTATCAGAAATGTGTTGCCCAACACCAAATCTGGAGAAAATCAAATTCGTACGTGAAAAGAGGGATTTCACTACTGTGTGTGCCTATGTTTCTGGAGACTTTATTTTCTATATGTGTGAAGAAGGCTACTACACTGATTCTTCCGATGGAAAGAGTACATGCCAAGAAGATGGCACCTGGAAGCCTCAAATTCCAGAATGTAAACCAGGTAAGAATTTTAAAGAACTTATTATTTCCTTGGATCCTTCAAATATTATCCACCAAATATTTATCCACCAAGCATTTCACATCCTTCTTCCTGCAGAAGAGTTAACTTCTTAAAATCAGGTAAATAAAGGATTGTTCTTCTATAAAGTTTTTTTTAAATAAATGTTCATAATTTTTAAATTATTTCATTTTTAGAAAATACAGCATTTCAAAATTGTTGAGTTTCGGCCTTTACAGAAATCATCCTTCAACATAGGACTATCATCCCCAGTGCATTCAACTCATTGAAAACTTTCATATAGTTTTGTGAAATCTGAGACAGTGCCCTTCCAGTGGAACTATTCTATTATTTCACAGTCTTTGGTTCAACACTGTAACCATTGTCTAAATTCTAACACTCAGTAATCATGTCCTTATGGTGCTGTGTTTATGGGAAGCCAGAGATAGATTGGGGATCCTGCATCTATTTGAAGTCTTTACACTTTCCACAGATGAACATTCCTGAACTTAGCCTGAAGTCTATTGAGAATGATTTAACCAGGACTCTGTAGCTGAACTCATCCTTTCATCCCAAAACTCCTGTGATCCATGTTGAAAAATATTTCCTATAAAATGGGAGAATTCTCTCAACTCAAGTTGCTTTTCTCCCACCAAGTATTTATCCACCAAGCATTTCACATTGAAAGCAACAGGATTGTTTGAGTTTTGCCAAGTTCTCCAAGGGGATAGAACTTGAATGGAAACACTGGAACCTGCTACAAATCACCAGACTTGGGCCCCGAGAATGTGGATGAGACTGTTGGTAGGATGGTAAATTAGTACAACTACAATGGAAATCAGTATGGAGTTTCCTCAAAACACTAGGCATGTAACCACAGCATGACCACCCAGCTCTACCATTTCTCAGTATTTATTCTGAAGAATTAAAGTCATCATACAATAACGACATGTGCCTATCCATGTGTATAGCAACATGGTTCACAATAGCCAAACTATAAAACCAGCCTTGTTTTATATCAGTAAATGGATGGAAAAAGAAAATATGGCATATATACACAATGGAGTTTTATTCAATCATAAATAAGAATGAAATTATGTCATTTGCAGGAAAATAAGTGGAACTGGAGACATTATGTTAAATGAAATAAGCCAAATTTAGAAAGTCAAGGGCCATGTTTTCTCTCATGTGTGAAAGTTAGAGAGGAAAAAGGAAAAGAAAGCTTTGTGTGCAGGAGTGGACAAGTATCTCCTGGAAATTGAAAAGAGATCTCTAGAGTAGAAGAAGGGGGATCAAGGGGAGGTTGGGGGGGAGGGAAAATACTGGGGTATGATACTGGCCAAATTATACTGTTAAACCATGAACATGCACAAATATGTACCAATGGATCCTACCATTGTGTTTAATTATAACACAATAACAATATGGATGAAAACCAAATCGTCAGACTTGGAGGAGTCTTCTTAATATAAAACTATAAGCTCAAACTCTTCCCTCTCTCTCACCATCCAAATGTGAAGTTCACCCTCCAGAATTTCCCCTAGACACCACCACAAGAAATGTCTTTAAATACTGCTGTTTTAGTCTGAGTATCTGAGTATCTGTCTCAAAAGTTTTTTTGTTGGAAATTTAATCTGCAGTCCAACATTAGTATGCAGTGGGACGTGGGGCCTCTAAGAAGTGATTGTCCAAGGGATGAAGCCCTTATGAATAGTTAGTGCCATTATTTTGTGAGTGGTTCAGTTATCAGGCAAATGAGTTGTTAAAAAAGTGAGTTCAACTAGGTCTGTTCTCTCTTATTGGCTTATTCACACTCTTTCATCTTATGCCCCATTGTGACATGGCATAAAGGCCCTTGTCAGGTGTAGATGCCATGCTTTTGGACTTCCTAGCCTCCAGAAATATATAGTTAAGTAACAATTTTTCTTTATAAAATCACCCAGTATATGCCATTCCATTAGAGCAACAGATAATGAATTAAGATAGTACAGAGAAATGGGGTTGTAGCTATAACAAATACATAAAAATGTAGAAGTGGTTTTTGAACTGGCTAATGGGTGGAGATTGAAATAGTTTTGAAACAAATGCTGGTAAAATCCTATATTGTCTTGAACTGACCATTGAGGGGGGTTTATGGTGAGAGCCCAGAAATAAGAGACTAGGGAAAGTCTGGAGCTTCTTAGAGATTACTTAAGTGGTTGTGATGAAAATGTTGTTAGAAATACGGACAGCAAAAGTCAGTCTTGTGTTGAAAACAATTACCAGTGCAACAGTATTATGAGGTAAGGACTTCATGAGGTAATTGGGCATGAGAAGAGAGACCTCATGGACTGATTAATGCCCTAATCATGGAAGTGAATGAATCAATTGTAAGAGAGGGTTTTATAAAACTTGGTTCAGTGGGCTCTGCCCTCTCTTGCCTATTCACCTTCAATTATGTATGATGTAGTATAAAGTTACTCACTGGATGCAGGTCCCATTCTCTTGGATGTCACAGGCTCAAAAACCATGAGCTAAATAAACTTCTTTCTCTATAAATTACCCAGTCTGAAGTATTCTATTATAGCAACAGAAAATAAACTTAGACACCTCCTTATCCTGAAGCTACATATGAATGTATTGAAGGATATATTTTAGTTGGATTTGCTATAGCTCATGCAAAACTTTTTGGTGGCTTCCTTCACCTTTCCAAAGTAAAGGTAACTCCAGTTCCACTCATAGTCCATTGAAGTTAGAGTTACAAAACATTGAGAGCAATGTTTCCTGCTGATCAGAGACTCCTAAATTTTACCTTTTAATTATGTATTTGGATTATTTAAATCATGACTGGTAATTTTTAAAATCCATTGACAAAGACATTAAAAAATGAAATTTACTTCCCACTCCAGAATCCTATGGGTACAATTATCCCATCTCTAGGGGCAGCCACTACAACTAGGTTGCTTTGTATCTTTCCAGAATGTCCAGACACAGTGTATTTTATTTGAGAATATCTTTGCGTTGCTAGTAAAATTCTCATGAGAATCTTGAGTTCTTTCCAACTATCCAAGAGAGAGGAATGTCAAGTGTAAATCCCCAAGTCATGAGGTGTTGAATACCTCCACTAAAACCTCATGATGGCCACCATTTTCCCCATGATCTTCCCATTTCCACTTTTTTTTTTTTTTTTTGATGACCCAATGATGATCCTGTTTGGTCACTGATGCAGAAACAAGATGAATCAAGATACTGTCTGTCTCTACATTGTGCTACCAAATGCCACTGTCTCTACTGTACCTAGGAAGATTAATGAGGCTGAGACAATGAAAAGTACATATACAGATAAAATAATAATAGTAATTAATTCATATGGTTGTAACAAGGATTAAATGAGATAAGGCCAACAAAAACTTAGAAAATAGATGCATATATTACTCAATAAATATTTATGGCTATTATAAGTACTAAAATGAAAGACTTTAGAACAACTTGAGGAGCCTAAGTATAATTATGATCAAAGTTTGTCTTATGCTGTTTTGATGCCTTTTTCTGAAAAAAACACAAGAATCAAAATATGTTTCCCTTTTAGTTCTGTGTCCAAAACCAACGGTAGAAAATGGCAGGCTGGCCAGGGAGAAGGACCATTATGTTGCAATGGAAAACATCACCATCCAGTGTGACTTTGGCTATAATGTGGTTGGTTCCCAAAGTATCACTTGCTCAGTGAACAAAACCTGGTACCCAGAGGTGCCCAAGTGTAAGAAGGTAAGTGGCACAATTCAGAGGAGTTCTGGGCTTTCAATCCCTGAAAATGGAAGCCTCCCCAAAGTTCTGTCCCTGTCAACAATGATCTGACTTTTGTCTGGATCCCTAAGTAATGTATCAAAATTAGCCATTTCAATCTCAAAGTACTATGGTGAGCTAGGAGAAGCAAGTTTTTTGACTCTGGGGCTAGAGCCAAAACTCCACTCTAGGCCCAGATCCCCTGACCCCTAACTCCACATCTTCTACAGTGAGTGTCCTGCGTTTGCTCCATTTCTGGTTGGTCAGCAGAATATCCCACAGCTGCCATGATGGAGGTGTTCTGGGTTGCTTTGCCTCTTTTAGGCTTTGATTGTGCCTGATTGCTGCTCAAGAGCAGATTGGGGTTTGGCCAGCAGCTGACACCTGATCAGAGGCAAAGTCTCTTCTGACTTCCTTTTCGTAGACCAGTCTTCAGGTCAATCTCACTTTTGCCAGTTATTCCTCTCAGAATGCACCCCCTCCTCATTTCTCTCTTTTAATCACCTTTAGGAGGTTCCAGAAGGCTGTGAACAAGTGATCATAGGCAGAAAACTCATGCAGTGTCTTCCAAACCTGGAAGAGGTGAAAATGGCCCTGCAGATATATAAACTGTCTCTGCAGATTGAACGTTTGGAACAAGAGAAAGATAAATGCATAAAGCTAAGGGAGAATATTTTTGAAAAAGAGAAATCAGAGGAGTTAGTTTGGCCTTTAAATTAATATGAAGAATCTCCTCAACAACTCTACTCTTGAGCACATCACTTAGAGTAATGTTTCTGGGCTTGGGAAATTTCATATGATTATTGTAAATAAAAAAAAGATATATTTAACTGTTGATCATCTCACTGTGTCTACTTTTCTTAACTCACAGTGTTGGTCAAATAAATAATCACTCATCAAATATCAGTTTGTGTTGTCATCCTAGTCAGCATGCCACATAAATATCGCACACCCAGTACACAGATCTGCTGTTTACAATGCCTGTAATTAGTTTTACATCCCTTAGAAAGGATGGAAGCTAGGAAACTCAAATTGTTCATACTACTACCTTTCCCTGGTGCCTTTACTGCACATCTCCCATGTCCAGAACCTGCCTCTCTGACTGCAGGAAAAATGGTCCAAATCCAATAGATTTTCAAAGTAGACACTCTTTGGTAATTAAAAACCAGTGAGAGAAGAAAAACCTTACTGAAAAATAAAAATAAAAAAATAAAGAGGTGACAGTAGGAAAAAAAAAACCTTACTGAAATTGTCCAGGTGCTTTGGTGAAATTGTCCCCTTCCAGGCACTGACTTGACTCTACCTTGGCCAAGACTTGTGTTCTCAATTTTGCCATTAGAGATTAGCACTTTATATAAATGGAATCTATATTATTCATTCTTTTAATCTTATTTTTCCCCTAAATCTTGTATTTGTGAGATTTATCCATGTTGCATAAGGTTAAGATTCATATATTTTCATTTCTAGTTAGTATTCCAGGATCATATCCAGTATTCCAGGATCATATCACAATTTACCTGCTTTTTCTTTGATAGACATTTGGGTTATTTTCAGTTTTTTAATATTAAGAATAGAGCTATAATGAACATTTTTGCATGTGCCTTCTGCTACATGTATGCATTTTGAATCTAAGGATGAAATTGCTGGCTCATAGTGGTTATGTATTTGCTCAGCAGATTTCCAAAATGGTCGCCCCAACCTGCATGTTTCCAAGTGGGAACCTTTGGAAAGGGAGCTTTCTAGTCAACAATTGCCTTTTATTATGTTTCTTCTTTAAGAGAATTCTGTTGGATGTTGTCTCACCCACAGGCCAGTTGTGCCAGAGTTGTGGGGCCGGTTCTTGAGAGGCCAGAGAAAGTGCCTGGAGACATCATGGGAGACATGATTTATTGAGAAACATATATAAGAGGTCAGTGGTTCCTCCAAGAGGAGCCTAGTGGTGACAGGCTGACAGATAGTACCTTTGTCCCTCATGGTGCTTTGTCAAGCAGTGCCTCCTCTTCCTCAAGGTGCTGTGTCCAGTGGCCGCTAGCTGGATGAGTGACAGGTATTTTTTTCCCACAGTGCCCTCAGTTCTGCACCCACCCCCACTCAGGGGTTTTATACGTTTGGCTGTGGAAGCAGTGACATTGTCAGATCAGTGGCTTAATGGGCTTGTCTGACCATTATCCCAAGAAGCAACTCTCCCAGCGTACATGCAAGAAAATAGCTTTCTGCGACAACACTAACTTGCCCTGATTCCCAGTGTGCATAGGAGAAAGTCAGTGTCCTTCAAGGTAATATACATCTGAACATTTGGGCCCAGGCTCGCTCTCAGTGTTTTCTTAACTTGGCTAGGTTTAGGGGAACAGAAAGGAGGCATTCACTGACATGAAAGTTTTAATGTCCCCCTTTGCTTTAGGGACAATATGGATGTAAAGTATTACAAAATTGTGCTTCTAATACTTACCTCCCTGATAATCAATAAACTATATTTCACATGTTTACTGAATATTTAGATATTTTGTTAAGTGTTAGTTCATGTCACCTATTTTTTCATTGGCTAATTAAAATGTAGTTGTAGAGATTTGGATAAAAGTTCTTTGTATTAAAATATTTATTCTTACCCTCTGATATCCATTTTTCTTTCATCAGACTTTCCTAAGGTCTCTTGATAAACATAAATTCCTAATTTGATTATAGTACAATGCAGTCAACATTTTATATTTGTGGGTTCCACATTCATGGATTCAACCAGCTGTGGGTGAAAGATATTTCACCCCCAAACTTGTATCTGTTCTGAACACATGAAAACTTATTTTTCTTGTTATTCTTCCCAAAGCAAAATAGTGTAACAACTATTTACATAGCATTTATATTGTAAGAGATACTATACGTTATGTAGAACTGATTTAAAATATACAGGAGGATATGCATTGGTAAAACAAACATTATGTCATTTTATTAAAGGGACTTAAACAGATATGGAGATCTGTCAGAATCCTAGACCCAATTCCCCACAGGTATCAAGATACAACTGCACTTCAAGTGTTTTCCTTTCAATTAATATTTTCTCGTACCCCACTAGAGAAGTCTATGCTTCCCCCAAGGTCATAAATATATTTACTCATGTTTTCTTTTATGAGATACACGATTTTCACTTTCATATTTACTTTTATGACCCACATGAATTTGCTATGGTGTGAAGTAAAGAACCAAGTATCTTTTTTCCATATGGATATTCAGTAACTGTAGCATCTTTCATTAAAAAGATCATTCTTTCTGTCATTGCTCTGTAGTGTCATGTTGTCATAAACCAAATGACCACATATATTTGGGTTTTACTAATTGATGCTTGGCTATTAATTCTTGGTGTATTTGATTACACCAATAGAATAGTTTGTCAACTTCCACCAAAATTCTACTGAAATTTTTCATTAGGATGCATTTTACTATTAGCTTTCAGTGAAGAGGCCTTATACATCTTAATTTGTTTTATTCCTAGGCATCTTTAAAATTATGTATTTTATTATTCTTTTATATAAATTTCTAAAAAGTATATTAATTATTTTTTATCATTGATCTATTATTTGCTAGCTCTTAAAAATCTAATAAATTTTCTACATGTTTTTAGATATTTTAAGTTCCTAATTATGCCACTGGTGAATAACTAAAGTTTGAATTTTTTGGCACACTCTCTGCTATTGATTTGTCTGTTTTGTTGTTGTTGTTTGTTTGCTTGTCTATATATCTCTGCTTATCATTTGGTACTCTATTCCCATGGATATGATCTCTGAATCCATGTGAAATGGAAGTGCTGATAGTTGCCCTTGTCCCGTTATTGATCTCAGGAGGAAATTATTTACTAATTCACTATCATGTAGTGTGTCTGTCGTAGGTATTTTGTAGAAGCTTTTAATAAGATTGCAGAAGCTGGGTGCAATGATTGCACACTGTAATCTAGAGGCTGAGGCAAGAGAATCACAGTTCAAAGCCATCCTCAGCAACTCAGTGAGGCCTAAGCAACTCAGTGGACCCTGTCTCTAAATAAAACACACAAAAAGGGCTGAGGATGTTGCTCAGTGATTAAGTACCCCTGTGTTCAATCCCCACTACCAAAGAGAGGGAGGGAGGGAGGGAGGGAGGGAGGGAGAGAGAGAGAGAGAGAGAGAGAGAGAGAGAGAGAGAGAGAGAGATTGCAGAAGTTCCCTTCCATTTATAATTTTCTAAGTGCTTTCCATTTTTATCATAAAACATGTAGAGATTTATCAAATGCTTTTTCTGCATTTGATCTATAGTTCAAAAACATTTTTTTTAGGTCATGGAGAGAATGCTCTAATGTTATTCATTGTTGTATAATAAATCCCAAACCTACAACTTAAAATAGTAACACTATTACTTTGTTCATAAATGAAACTTGAGCAGCATCTGGTGGGTGATGAATTTGCTCTACTCAGCATCATCTGCAGTGTTATCAAAACTGGGGACTGGAATCTTCTAGAGATGGGCTGACTCACTAGCAGGTCTGATACCTGAGTTGGAAAACTCCACAAACTGTGGACTAGAGTCCCCAGGGCTCCACAGCCATCTCCATCTTTATGTGACATCTGCCCTTGTTCTCACTAGTTGGACCACTTCAGGGATCTCCTACTATCAGGTACTATTTTAGAAGATATAGTGTCTATATAGGTTGAAACTCCAGTCCACATGGTATCCTTTCTCAGTTGCCTGGTCATTCAATAGGCCATCCCACTCTCTTCTAAGGTCAGTTCCTTCCTTGGTATGGGATAGCAGGTAAGACCAGTGAAGCTCCTGAACAAATGCCCATTGACTTTCTTTTTGCTGTTATTAAAGTAAATTTCTTAATCAGAGGCAATACTGTGTGTCCTACCATGATAGGGAACAGGCATTCAGTAAGCTCACACTTGGTATATCTGGAAGAAATCTGGCCACAGGAATGCAAGTCTAAATCCAGAAAGAACCTACTGCTAAAAAAGCCAACATTATTCATCATGATGGGAAATCAAGTGATTGGCTGGGATATTGTATCTGGATGTGGTATCATAATGGATGTTGGTAAATAAAAATGCTAGTTCTAAATAAAAGTACTAGTTCTGCAAACAGAATATCTTTTAGCATCAGTTAGTGCATTAATCCTCTAATAGGGATTAATTGGGTGATAACTGTAGGCAAATGGGTATGGCTGGAGGTGGATCATTGGGAGCTTGTCTTTGGAGTGTATTTGTGAACTTGAGCTTAGTCTCTCTCTCTCTCTCTCTCTCCACGCCCCCCCCCCCCGCCCTCCTTCCTGGTGCCTTGATCCACTCTCATTTTTCAGCCAAAAGGTTGAGACACAGGACAGGACTATCTCAAAACCTAAATTTTCCAGCCTCTATTTCCATATTTTTGTGCAATAAATATTGTGTTCCTTTTTGGATATATCAGTGGAAATATCCTTCCTTCCAGTTGCCTCTCATGGATGAGGGGAGTCACAAGAGAAAACAAGCACTATAGCATCTTTTTTAAAAAATATTTATTTTTTAGTTGTAGCTGGACATAATACCTTTTATTTTATTTATTTATATGTGGTACTGAGGATTGAACCCAGGGTCTTGAGCGCTCTACCACTGAGCCAAACCCCAGCCCCCACTATAGCATCTTAATGAAATTGAAGACAAGCTAAGGAGTAGAAGGAGATAACTACACACATTGTGACTTTTTTTTTCTGTAGCTAATCATTTGCAGGGATAATGACTTGCTATTTTTCTTTACTCCCACTCATCCCACCTGACCAGCCATGCACCAACCACACTGCTGGAACTTGGGATTTTTAGTAGAGCTTGAAATGAAAGGTTG